TAATACATTATCTGGAAATAAAGAATATTCCTTTCATTATCAATGTTCTTATTTAATTTAGAACAGTTCATTCAAATGTCTATGCAGCTTTTCATTTTATTTATGTTAGTCAGGTCTGACAGTTTCAATTTCAAATTTCATTTAAATATTCAACAGTTTGGTATCATTCACATGCATTTTTAACCATCCATTATTGGCCAGTATTTTTTTTTAATTTACAGTTGGAGTCATTTTCTGTTTTGTTTCTCTTAAACTATACAAAATTCAACAGGCTTCATTTAAATTGACTCTCCTAATAATTTACCTTCACTTTGAAGGGTATTCAAATAGGCTTAAGAACTACTGGCAACTGCATTGAATCTTAAGCCCCAGAAGGGTCAACTTTTTTTTTCTTTTATTTCTTTTAGCATTATATAATTAAGAAATAATACATCCCAAATAGTGATTTTATCGCTCAATAACATCACTGTTTGGAGTTCAGATGCGAGGAATTATATCACAAGGTATTATAAAACCACCGATTTGGACAAATATTATTTTGATTCTAACACGACATCAACAAATATATGCTGCCATACCTGATATTTTAGCTAAATTGCACCTGATTTGTTTCTGTACTGATTTTCAGCGCATAAAATTTTTAATGGTTACGTCACATGTATAATGATTACGTCATATGTCTAAATATAGAATGTCACCAGTGATTTTATTATACAATTATTGACTAGTGAGCCATTGAATATGATGTGATATTCACCGGCAGATGACATATTGACCGAGGCGATAGCCGAGGTCAATATGACTTTCTGCCGGTGAATATCACATCATATTCAATGGCTCACTAGTCAATAATTGTTTTATTATATGAATAGGCTAAGAATTAAAAAAAAAATCACGAAAAAGTACATCCTTATATACATGTAAAAATTTTGCCTCGTTGAAGCGCGGGAAAAAAGACGCACGTGTTAGGCGTGCAACGACTACGCGAACGCTGCGCATACAAAAGTAATTCAAGTTTATACTCATCGATGCGGTTTAGCCTTTAAGTATAACAGTAAAGTAATGATATTTCAATCGAGAAATATGCAATAAAGAACAAAACGCAACAATTATTTTTTAATTAACACAAGTAATTAACAGTCTACGGTGTATGGTCATTGAATATGACTCTCAATCTATATTTAGACTTGGAAAATCCAATTCAGCCAGTTAATATGATACTACACCCAGTGAATATGATTTTATAAAAAGTTATGTTGACTACAGTTTGGACCAATGAGATTGCAGCTATTTTTAGATCATATAATAATGCATAATAACACACGTTCGGTTCTTCTTTGTTCAATAGGGAAAAATACTGGTCGTGTTAGAATATGTATATATAACACATAATTTGTGTTTCTCATCTCCTTTTTGGGAACAAGTGTTTATTTTGATTATTTAATTAATATAGGTATTCATTGCCTAAATAATACTGAATCATATATATAGTACATGATATTTCCAAAGTTTTAAAAAGTAAAATATTTTATATTTTACAAGAATTAGAATAATTTAGGGACAAATTTAGAGTCTCATTTGGTAGTTTTTAGAGATTTGTTTTTTTAATGAGGCTTTTTCAGTAGTAAAAAGGTCAAACATGTTGTAACGGAAAGTGGGATACAGTAATTTTTTTATACATATCTAAAAAATTTCAGAAAAACACTAGTTTTGCTTAGGTGAAATGTTAGCGGAATGGTCCATTTGTTTCTTACCAACAATAAATGGAAAACCATGTTTCATAATATGAAGATAAATAATTGTAGATTATTTCTGAAAAAGGGACATTCTATAATCTCACCTTCTACAGGTGTCTTTAAATGTATATATCAGACCTACAATGTATGTTGTTAATTTTCCATTTTCTTATAGTCTGTTAGGGTCATGTGCCTTAAGTAGGTTTCGGATATCTTTATTTTTGAAATGAATGTTGCATTTAAGTAAATAAAAATTAATTTTGGCCATGGGAAGAGTACCTCCTCGTGGTATGGCCTGGATGCAGATCTATGGGTACATCTGTAACTAATCACTCTTCAAATACAGTATTTTTATTTTGTATTATTTATCAATTGATTGACTCTTATTAATTTGATAATTTATCATAATGTAAATTCTATCACCAAAATTATATTTTTTCTTACAATAATACATTTTTGTCTATTAACTTACTACCATATATTATAAGAATGTTCTAGGAGGGATTTGAAGGTCCTTTGTGCCTCCCTAGCAGTTGTAAGTGCACCTGAGCAGTCCTTAGCGGTCCGACAACTCTTCAAAAACATGAATTTTATCACTAAAATGATATTTTTCCTTAAAATTATACATTTTTTATCACTAAACATACTACCATGTATTATAAGAATGCCCTTACAGTTATTTTAAGGTCCTTTGTGCCTCCTTAGGAAATATTTTAAGGTCCCTAGCAGTCCTTTTCGCACCTGAGCAGTCCTTAGCGGTCCGGCAACTCATCGAAAGCATATAGTCTATCACCAAAATTACATTTTTTTCTTACAAAAATACAATTTTGTCTATTAACTTACTACCATGTATTATAAGAATGTTCTAGGAGGGATTTGAAGGTCCTTTGTGCCTCCCTAGCAGTTGTAAGTGCACCTGAGCAGTCCTTAGCGGTCCGACAACTCTTCAAAAACATGAATTTTATCACTAAAATGATATTTTTCCTTAAAATTATACATTTTTTATCACTAAACATACTACCATGTATTATAAGAATGCCCTTACAGTTATTTTAAGGTCCTTTGTGCCTCCTTAGGAAATATTTTAAGGTCCCTAGCAGTCCTTTTCGCACCTGAGCAGTCCTTAGCGGTCCGGCAACTCATCGAAAGCATATAGTCTATCACCAAAATTACATTTTTTTCTTACAAAAATACAATTTTGTCTATTAACTTACTACCATGTATTATAAGAATGTTCTAGGAGGGATTTGAAGGTCCTTTGTGCCTCCCTAGCAGTCCTTTTCGCACCTGAGCAGTCCTTAGCGGTCCGACAACTCTTCAAAAACATGAATTTTATCACTATCATGATATTTTTCCTTAAAATTATACATTTTTTATCACTAAACATACTACCATGTATTATAAGAATGCCCTTACAGGTATTTTAAGGTCCTTTGTGCCTCCTTAGGAAATATTTTAAGGTCCCTAGCAGTCCTTTTCGCACCTGAGCAGTCCTTAGCGGTCCGGCAACTCATCGAAAGCATAAATTCTATCACCAAAATCATTTTTTTTTCTTACAATAATACATTTTTGTCTATTAACTTACTACTATATATTATAAGAATGTTATAGGAGGGATTTGAAGGTCCTTTGTGCCTCCCTAGCAGTTGTTAGTGCACCTGAGCAGTTCTTAGCGGTCCGACAACTCTTCAAAAACATGAATTTTATCACTAAAATGATATTTTTTCTTAAAATAATACATTTTTTGTCACTAAACATACTACCTTGTATTATAAGAATGCCCTAGGAGATATTTAAATGTCCTTTGTGCCTCCCTAGCAGTCCTTTGTGCCCCTAGGAGGTATTTTAAGATTCTTTGTACCTCCCTAGCAGTCCTTAGCGGTCCTCCAATTCATCGAAAACATAAATTCTATCACCAAAATTATATTTTTTCTTAAAATAATACATTTTTTATCTATTAACTTACTACAATATAATATAAAAATGCCCTAGGAAGTAATTTAAGATCCTTTGTGCCTCCCTAGCAGTTGTTAGTGCACCTGAGCAGTCCTTAGCGGTCCTGCAACTCATTGAAAGCATAAATTCTATCACCAAAATTATATATTTTTTTAAATTATACATTTTTTCTCACTAAACATACTACCATATATTATAAGAATGCCCTAGGAGGTATTTAAATGTCCTTTGTGCCTCCCTAGCAGTCCTTTGTGCCCCTAGGAGGTATTTTAAGATTCTTTGTACTTCCCTCGCAGTCCTAAGCGGTCCTGCAACTCATCAAAAACATAAATTCTATCACCAAAATTATATTTTTTTCTCACAATAATACATTTTTGTCTATTATCTTACTATCATATATTATAAGAATGTTCTAGGAGGGATTTGAAGGTCCTTTGTGCCTCCCTAGCAGTTGTAAGTGCACCAGAGCAGTCCTTAGCGGTCCGACAACTCTTCAAAAACATGAATTTTATCACTATAATGATATTTTCCTTAAAATTATACATTTTATCACTAAACATACTACCATGTATTATAAGAATGCCATTACAGGTATTTTAAGGTCCTTTGTGCCTCCTTAGGAAATATTTTAAAGTCCCTAGCAGTCCTTTTCGCACCTGTGCAGTCCTTAGTGGTCCGGCAACTCATGGAAAGCATAAATTCTATCACCAAAATCATATTTTTTTCTTACAATAATACATTTTTGTCTATTAACTTACTACTATATATTATAAGAATGTTATAGGAGGGATTTTAAGGTCCTTTGTGCCTCCCTTACAGTTGTTAGTGCACGTGAGCAGTCCTTAGCGGCCCGACAACTCTTAAAAAACATAAATTTTATCACTAAAATGATATTTTTTCTTAAAATAATACATTTTTTGTCATTAAACATACTACCTTGTATTATAAGAATGCCCTAGGAGGTATTCTAAGGTCCTTTGTGCCTTCCTAGCAGTCTTTTGTGTATCTGAGCAGTCCTTAGCGGTCCGACAACTCATAAAATTTTCACCAAAATCATATTTTTTCTTAAAATTAGAATTTTTTTTTCACTAAAAATAATACCAGGTAATATAAGAATGGCCTAGGAGGTATTTTAAGGTCCTTTGTGCCTCTTTAGTAGTCCTTTGTGGCTCCTTAGCAGTCCTTAGCAGTCCTTAGCGGTCCTTAGCAGTCCTTAGCAGTGTTTAGTAGGACCGCTTATTTCTGGTTTAAATCAGTCGATGCATATATTCTTTTAATAATTAAATGCATGTTATTATCCGATCGTACCTTTCTTCCAAGCTTTGCACATTTAATTACAAATTACATATTCCTAACCGTGTCACATGCTTCTTTACGAATTCATGACGACTGAAAGAATGTTTGCGGATAAAGAAATTCAATCGCAACTACTCGGCCCTTTCCGGGTGGGGGGAAAATCCCGGGATCCGGGATCCGGGACGCCCGGGATCCGGGATCGTATTAGATATATAGGGAAAACTCATAAACTACATTTGTGTTGATTATTGTCGTAATGAGAGGCGATTAAACGTTAACTATTTATTTCCTTAATTGTATGTAATGAACAGTAAATGAATTTAACTTAAGATTTAAATATATTTCGAGTTATTTATTAACAAACTTAAAATGCGGAAATCACAATACTTAATTGTAATTATAGTATAATTGGAAAAATCAAAGTTTTTGTTAATACACTATTTGGCTTAATTTTATGTTCATGTATTTAAATATTATTTTTAGAAAAGATCAGAAGATATACTTAACATAATTGATAACAAAAAAAACACTTTTGACGTGTATGACAGGTGGTCAATTCCCGGGATCTCTGTAGTGTTTAATAGATTTCGGCTTTTCTGAAAGCAAGATGGTAATGGTCAATTTCCCGGGATATATATATCTTATACGATCCCGGCTTTTCTTAATGCGATTACCCGGGATCTCTTAAGTCTAATAAGGAAAATCAACTATTTTTTCGTGACCATTATGGTTGAGGATTTATACACTATTGTAAACACAAGTTCGACTTAATTGGCATGCTTATTTTACGTAAAAAGGCGGTGTAAAATATTACATTTGTATATAAAAATGCTGATTTATGATAATCGAATGATAATTTACTCTTTATCTGTACGTCTAATACGATTCCGGTTTTTCTGAAAAACTCTATATTCTTGAACTGGTCAAATACCCGGGATCCCTATGTGTTTTAATACGATCCCGGCTTATCTGACAAAAATATCTTCTTGGACTGGTCAATTCCCGTGATCCCTATATGTTTAATACGATCCCGGCTTATCTGAAAAATATATCATTGGACTGGTCAATTCCCGGGATCCCTATGTGTTTTAATAGGATACCGGCTTTTCTGGCTGCGGTTCGTATAACATTGAAAATAGTAATTCACGTTACATAACTTGATGAAAATTTATATGTGCAAGATCATGGTAAATGAAAAATATAATGATGAAGCAATTAAAAAATTCAACACCTTAATTCGATTTAATAGGTGTTGCATTAAAGATTAATTATACTTAAAATTGATATTTTAAAATACTGATAATTTCTCTTTCTGAATGTAAAATAAACATTTTAGTGCAGACATGTAAGATATATTATCTTTACACACGATATCAGTAAACACAGTGTGAAACACGGTCCATAAAAGGCAATTTAAAATAAGACCAAATAACTTGACACTGTAAAATGCTTTTGCCAATAAAAACAAGTTTGAGTCTTGCAACATCAAAACATTGTTTCACAAAGCGAATTAATTGAGAAAAGATAAAAAGGCATTATCATAAAATTATACTTCACGCCAGTTTAATGCACTGCATATTTTATGAAAGGTACAATGAATTATGTTGTGATATTTTCAACTTAAATTTTTTATATTTTTCGTATTCTGCTTATTAGATAATGTAAAGAAAATATTTTCCTTCAATTAACGTATTTATAAACAAGATGACAAACGTACACAGAAATTTCGTTAATAATTGAAAAATACTTATTTCTGTAACAACTGTGTTTATTAATACCAGTTGGAAATCATTCTTTGGGATCAAATCAGTGAGACATGGCCAATGTCATAAAGCCTCTAGGATGATCATTTAGCTAAAGTCGGATCATAATTAAATAACTGACACGAGTGAGGTTATCTGATGTAATGTTATGCACCCTGTTGATTTATGATATCATGGCCCTGTGTCGCTTAATTGTAATTACAACATATGCACCCTGTTGATTGGCCCAGCGTCGCTTACAGATACAAATCTTTGTATTAATGAAATAATTTCTGTGACAGAAAAGATTATATTAATTTACATATTACTCTTAATCACATTTGCAAAATCTCTTGGAGTCAATTATACTTATATAATATATATTTAGAAATTAATTACGAAGCACAGATTAACCACGTGCATTTTTAATTAAAATTGTGAAACTTTATGTACTAGGCAAAGTTATTTTACTTGTATAATACTTTTATGTTTTACTATTACCACGGTATGTGTTCTTCCTTGTTAATTTGTGTCATAATCATATATCATACTTTTTTTATTATTTTATAAAAATTGATTTGTAATATCAACAATAATCTTATTTTCGTCTATTGTGAATCCTAATACTTGAAAAAAGTTATTGCCACATGGTTTTCGATTTTTCAGGAACGTTTATATATATTATACATCCCTGGTTCTATGTAAGAATTCTATACCGCATAATGAAATAAAATCAATATGTATGGTTATAACAGGTACGTATATTAACGTTATAAATACGACAAAATCAGGCATAAATCGCGTATATCATGTAAAGTATTATCTGAAACTTCTTTTTTTTTTTTACTTTTCTTAAAATCTTGGTACATTTTTCGCGAGTTTGGTTTCCTTGAAATATTTTGGTTTATCAGGAGGCATGCAACTTTAAAATGAATTATCATACTGAAACATGTGTTTATTTACATGTCTGTATATGTGAAGTTTTGAAACGAAAGATATTTAGATATATTGCCTGAACATTTGAGACGATTTGTAACTAGATTACGAACTTCTGCACACAACCTAAGAATACAAACTGGCAGATATGCTAGAAAACAGAATACATACAATACAATAGAAATGAACGCTACTGCCAATGTTGTTCTTTAAAGCTGCATGCCTCCAGATGAGTCAAAATATTTCGATAAAATCAAACTTGAGAAATATGTACTACGACTTTAGGAAACGTAAAATGGTTCAAGATTCAAGTAATATTTTACATGTTATGTGCAGTTAATGACTGATTTTTTTTAAATGTACAACTATATTTCTGCTGCGTTACTAACGCAGTAAGGTCTATTTATGCATATTTTGACCACTTTGGTAATTTACATGGCTTGTAAGTGCCATTGATAATATATAAATGGCTTCCTTTTGGTTATTTCACAATATAAAACATTCAAAAACATTTTCAATTTTTTTATGAAAATTAGCATGAATCTGGAGGCGTGCTGCTTTAAGAGACTTAGAAGACGAATTTCATTTTGATCTTATATGCCCATGTTATACAAATGTTCGTAACCTTTATATAAAAGATATTATTTTGTTAACCCAAGTATGTACATATTTATTGCATTTGTGCAAAGTGATAATAGAAAAGGAACTATGTTAATTAGCATTTTATTACAAAAATGTTATGACTGTTAGAACTTCACTATTAAATAATGTTCAATGATAGATCAAAATTTTTTATTTTTAAGTTTTGATATTGATTTTCTTCCTTAAATATGTTCATCCTCAACTGAGGCTTAATAACAATCAACATAAGTTTCATTACAATTATTGATTTCTTTATATTATTTATATCACGATTTCTTTACATTGATTGCACTGAAAGTACATGTTACTTGAATATTATTATGTATGTGATGATGTACTATGTATAAATCCGAAATAAAAGTTCTGTTCTGTTTTGTGTTTGTTCAAAATGAACTAGCTACTTCTACCTTACTGATATATGATTTAGATACATGTATATTATCATAGAATTAATTGATTGCCAACTTGTATTGACCTTCGTTATATACACATTATTATATTGCCGCATGCCACTCAATAATAATTTCCCCTATATTATAATAACTTGATTTATTAGTGATGACGATAATGGTGATGATGACGACGATGGTGAAAGTGATGATAGACACTGCTTGTCTAAAACGATCCCGGCTTTTATATATGTGATCCAGCACGGATCTCTATATATCTAATACGATCCCGGCTTTTCTGACTGTGACATGGCAGTGGTCAAATCCCGGGATCTCTATATATCTAATACGATCCCGGCTTCTCTAAATGTAATTTGGCAGACGGTCAATTCCCGGTATCTCTCTTTGTTAAATACGATCCCGGCTTTTCTGACTGTGACATGGCAGTGGTCAAATCCCGGGATCTCTATATATCTAATACGATCCCGGCTTCTCTAAATGTAATTTGGCAGACTGTCAATTCCCGGTATCTCTCTTTGTTAAATACGATCCCGGCTTTTCTGACTGTGACATGGCAGTGGTCAAATCCCGGATCTCTATATATCTAATACGATCCCGGCTTTTCTAAATGTGATATGGCAGACGGTCAAATTCCCGGTATCTCTCTTGTTAAATACGATCCCGGCTTTTCTGAATATGACACGGCAGTGGTCAAATCCCGGGATCTCTATATATCTAATGCAATCCCGTCTTTTCTAAATGTGATATGGTAGATCAAAGATGTTCTAAAAATATTGTACAAATATCGTAATGATTTAATAGAGAAAATGATAATTCGTTTGTTGTGATTTTTTAAAGGTATAATATACTAATTTATTGATAGGAGTAAAATGCTTTGAACATTACAAGTCTGATTCTGTTTGACAAGCGGAAATCACTAAAAATTAAAAGATTTATATCTAAGTAGGAAAATCAAAATATTTATATAAAAGGTCATCTTTTTCCGTGACGAATCAAACAAAATGTATTTAAATAAAATTTTAAAAAACCCGGCTTAATCTTATTTTACGTAGCAAACACGCTTTGGTTCACCAGACATGTAGGTGTCTCTCATCTCTCATAATATTTATTATAAAAGTGCACGTGTCATTTGTGTCAATATCTCGAAACCAATATACAATGACTTCCACTGCCAGTACATGTACTTACAATATTAAATAAGATTATGGGTGTGTGACATTCTGAGGTCAATTAAGGCTCTCATCTGTGAAAAAATACGCTAAAATATTTTTTCATAACTAGGCCTACTACAAATCAAACTTATTCAAAAGCTCTACAAAAAAATTCAAATAATAATAATAATAATAATAATAATAATAATAATAATAATAATAATAATAATAATTATAATAATAATTAAACAACAATTATAATATATAATCTAAACTTTATTTTCG